GAAGGTTATATCACCAGTGCATTGCTTGTAAATATTATCTGTAAACTGCAAAATCTTGCAAGATCTTGGGATGGGGGGGTGAAGGAATTTTTTCCCCCTGAGATGATGTGCATGGTCACATGTTCCAGTCACATGCCAGAGTTCCAGGAAGTAAGGGGAGATGTCTTCATCTGCCCTTAGTAAAAATGGCCACTGTGTGAAGAATGGGGAGGAAAAGAAAAATAAGGTATACAAAGAATAAAAAGCTGGCAATTATCTAGAAGTATGTGTTAGCAGATTGATATTACTAAACATTTCTAAAGGTGCCTTTGTTGTCATTTTTAAGATTAGAGTGCAACTCCATTGTAACCACTTGAAGACCAGGTGTTTACACCCCCTTCCTGGCCAGGCCGTTTTTCTGTATTCAGTGCTGCGGTAATGTGACTGACATTTATTCAGTCATGCAACGCTGTACTGAAATGAATATTATACCATTTGTTGGGGACAGATAGAGCTTTCATTTGGAGGTATTTAATCACCACTGAGGTTTTTATTTTTTACTATATAATGAAAAAAGTACAGAAGATTTTGAAAAAAAACCTCTTTTCCGTACGTTATGTTAAAAAACATTTATTCTTACCCAAATTTTTGGTAAAATATAAGGTCACATCGAGTAGCTTTCATTTGGAGGTATTTAATCACCACTGAGGTTTTTATTTTTTACTATATAATGAAAAAAGTACAGAAGATTTTGAAAAAGAACCTCTTTTCCGTACGTTATGTTAAATAACATTTATTCTTACCCAAATTTTTGTTAAAATATAAGGTCACATCGATTAAATAGATACCGAACATGTCAAGCTTTAAAATTGCATGCACCCCGCAAATTCGCAAAAAATACCGCTTTTACTGCTCATTAGTTTAGTGTTAACAGTGACTGATGGATTATTGCCCTCACTCTGACGTTCGCAGTGATATGCAACATGTGTGGCACAATGGGCGCAATCATCATTTTCGCAGGTAGGCTCACCCAACACGTTTGTGTGTCTGTCTGTTCATGTCTGTCGACTTAGAATCTTCCCGTGAGTACATTTATAGTGGTAATAACTGTTCCCTCAGTTTGGAGGGATTTCATCTCACTTCCTGTAGCCTCTCCATGACAGGATGTAAAAACATCTCCTCAACAGGACACAGACAGAAGCACCAGTGGTGAGAAAAGAACACAATCAAAGAAAAGTGGAGCATTCTTCACAGTACCATATGTTATTATGGCTGCCAATTAATAATTATCAACTTCTCTCACTGGACTTGGCAGTAAAGAAATTATCGTATTTCAGGGTATGTTATGTCCATGTGTTTACTGCATTGTTGTGACAAATATATAGTCAATTACATACCACTGTAAGATATTTTATTAACTGTTGTATTATTTATACAGCATTAAATTGCCCTGCAGCACCACAAATATATTTGAAATATGTACACCCCATTAAAAATAATGATAAACAAGTCTTAACTTGTCATTATTTGCTATTAGCTTTACTGTTAAAGGTTAATGAATAATGCTAAAGTAATTACCAGATTTAATGGTTTGCTAAATGTGAATGTTGAATCATCTCCATTTTTCCAGAGAACTAATGCATTGAAGTTAACATTTCAAATTCTAATCTTGAAAATCATTTTACAGGGTATTTCAAATTCAGTTTTCTAATAGAAACATTTATAGTTGTGGAGTGCTTAAGTACCTTGACTCGTGCTAAGAGGTTTAGTAGAATGCACGAGAAAGTTCATTATTTTTAATTAGTGTAATTGCTAATGTTGCATTAAGAGTTTGGTTAGTGGAAGTAATTACAGTAAATGTATTAGATGTGAGTATTGGCATTCATCTTGTGACATTATTAAAATTTCAGAGATAGAAATATCCCTGGTGGATTCCAGCCACTACATTGTTTACCAAAGGATGAGGAATTAATCATAGCGTCAATGCCCACCAAGCAGGAAAAGAATAATTATATTTTAGCAGGATTCTGTTATCTAGGGAATGTCTTGGAAGGTGTTAATCTATGATGGCTGACTGTGTGTATTTTTCTGCCATGATTAATAGAGAGAGAAAATAAGTATGATGACAGCGGACACTTCATAATTTGCATACTCGCTGCATATTGTGAAGTTATGAAAACCCCAAAAACTGCGTACTATTTTAGAGTTACTCAAACTGTATTCTAAATTAGGTGGTTAATGTATCAATATCATGGAGCAGTGCTACAAAACTTTGGCATTTCACTGCAGGCTCTTGACACAGAGGCTCCTAATGTAAGATACGGTAAGCGCTGCAAAAGTAGAGGATTGGGTGTTAGGGCCTGGTTAGACTAGTATTAGGCTCACTTTAAAGATTTGGAGGTGACAAAGTGTTAAAGTGAATCTGTACGTTACCCCTTCAGGGCAACAGGTTTACTTTAATGTAGATCCCACCAACAGCACATACATTTCTTTCACTCCCTCGCTGCTCTGTTGGGGTAATGTGAAGTCGAGATTTGGGGCTTACAAAGGGCTGTGAGATCTTTCTCTTCCCTCCTATGACAGCTTTGTAGTAGTTTCAATATCAAACAAGAGCTGCAGCTACCAAGTGCAGCAGCTTTTATTGAACCATAAGAGGACATCACATCTAACTACACCCAATCAAAGGGTATGAATGATGTGCTGAAGGGGGCAGGAGATTATTTTTGCCTTACTGGAAATTAATTATTTAAAATATCATATTTCCATTAGACAAAGTTTCACAATCCGACAACCAACATAAAAGTTAACAGAAGGATATTACAGATTATTAGATATTAAACAAGATATGGATCATATGCACATCTCACTTAGGAGTTCTTATGTGTCCCATTAGCCGTCTGGACCTTGTAATATAGGGATGGTTTGTTTTTAGCTGATTGGCATCTTCCCATACATCAGTATAACCATTTTTGTATGAATATAACTCAATTACTGTAGGAGCTATGGAATATCTGCAATGTTAAGAGTTGATGTGTATGAACGTGCAGTTTCAAGTCAAATAAAGCCAGTATTATAGATGTGTATTACTTCTAAACTCTTTTACAACAGTACTGGGTTAGGAGTCTTTTGAGGACTCTGCTAAGGGAGATTTTATGACCCTTCTACATTCAATCTTACTTTCTCTGCTTTGTGTCGTAAGGTGGCCATACACTCTACAACCATCGCAAGACTTTAGTCTTGCGATGGTTGTAAAGGGATTAAAAAAACGTACGATCTGCCTATCTTGGACAGGCAGATCGCACTCTCGATCATCGCAAGCCCGCCCTCCTGAGGGGCGGGCTTCCGATGACCGCAATGCTGAACGGGCAGTGTGCACGTGCGCACACCGGCCCGTTCAGCATTTATCTTCCGAGCACCGTTCTAACCAGCCGAGAATCGTACGATTCCCGGCTGGTTTTCGAACATGCTGGTTCGACAGAAGACGTGCGACCGTACAGTAGAAACGGTCGCACGTCTCCGTTCACACTGCTCGATTATCGTACGAAAACCCGATCGCATACGATTATCATACGATAATCGTGCAGTGTATGGGCACCTTACACTGAGCTGTGTTTTAGTGGGAGTTTTATAATTTGTGATACAGTTTTATAATTTGCGTTACCTTCTCTGGCTGCCCACTACAGACATGAGAGTTAAATCTAAGCCTTTCTGTTATTAACTTGTGCATTTTAGAGAAAATGAGGGTTTCACCACAATTCTCCCCACTCAGTTTGTGATTGGCCATTAGCATCATATTCCTTCTCTTTTTTCAATGCATATAAAAATATCATAGATTCTTGTGAATTACCAGGCATAACAAACTGCTCATGCTATGCCAGTAGTGGAATTCAGTAATATGTATGATAAATCACTGTTACATGTTTTGTTCCTTTTTCTGTTGTGTTAATAACAGAAAAATGCAGGGAGAAGAAGAATAGAAATTATTTTAAGAGGGTTTTGTTTTAACATGGTCATTTTGAAGGCTACCAAATTAGCTCTCAAAGTGTATCAAAATCCAAATACAAAGAGTAATATTGGCAGCTTAATAGTCATAAGATGCGGTGGATGCATTTCCTTTCTTTTTTCAGGCTAAGAACAGTTTCAGCAAGTAGACAAACTACCAGTTGATCTTGCCAGAAATGCAGTATCCTTGTCACTTCCAATGAATTGCAAATTACCGATCCTATCAATCCCCCATTGTAACGAAGATGAACAAAGGCAGGCATGTATGAAGTCCAGGCTGTGTGACAACTATAGCTCCTTCCATAGATATCATGAAGAAATAAGCATAGACATAAAGGGATAAGAAATGTGTTATTCGCAGCATTACCGGAAAAATAACGAATGCAGCTACCATATCTAAGGACTGATAAGCTTCAATATGTCACATTTTTTTGGTTTGGGGGTTAGATACCCTGTAAGAAGCATGCTGGACCAACCATCATTTGTGGATGGGAGCATCAGTACTGTCCGCCTAAATCGGAAAATCTGGATAGTACAATGATTACTAAAGGTTGGTGAGAGATTGCTTTTATTAGGATATTTCTTTAGAACCTACTGCAATCTGTCCTTTAGAATTACAGTATCTTCTCTCATGCTGGTGTCTTTGTCGTGCTACTGGTAGAAATTAAATCACGCATGAAATGCAATGAGATACAGTAGCAAAGAAAACCCATCTGAACTGTTTAGATCTTTAACATCTTGAAAAATAAAAAAAAATGTAAGAAAACATACAAGGTATATCGTATGTTTTCCTAATAAATAGCAAATTAATGTATTCTGCGGCTAACAGAACATTAGCAGAATGTTTATTGCAAAGTTTCACTTTTACTACGACCATGGAGAGATGTATGAGCTGATTTGCTAGTGACTAACAATTATCATTCCTTTTCTGTTTTATGTCTGACTGCTTCTGTGCTCAGCGATTCCATAAAAGTTGAGTGTTATTGCCTATTTTCTACAGTAATGTCTTTCTCTTTTAGAATGCTCCAAACAGATGTGCAGTCCCCGAAGACTCCTCTCTACAAACCACACATCATCAGTGCCATGAAACCATCCGCGACCCACAGCTGACTTCATGCACTTGCCCTTTGTACGCTTGCAAATGGGAAGGTCATTTGAAGGTTGTTGTTGCTCATTTGACACAAGCTCACACAATTAACATACTGCATGGAACAGAAATTGTCTTTTTGGCCACTGACATGCACCTTCCAGCACCAGTAGACTGGATCATTGCACATGCATGTTTGGGCCACCACTTTTTACTTGTGCTCAGAAAACAAGAAAAATACCAAGGACACCCACAGTTCTTTGCTGCAATGATGTTGATTGGCACACCAGCACAGGCTGAGAATTTCACCTATAAACTGGAGCTGAACAGGAACCGTAGAAGACTGACATGGGAATCCAGCCCTCGGTCAGTCTTAGACTGTGTTGACTCTATAATTACTGATGGAGATTGCCTTGTACTCAATGCCTCAATGGCTCAGCTCTTTGCTGATAATGGAAGTTTGGCTATTGGAATAGCAATATCTGCAAGTAAACTTTGTGCTGCTCAACCTGAAATTTAATATTTAGGACATTGATCTAGGGAAATTCAATATTTTGGGCTTTTTAACCTCCCTGGGCTTTCTAGAGCCTGTACATAAACGAAAACACATTCAGGCAGAAATGTACAATTGACATTTATTTTAAATGTGTTTAGGTCTAGTTTCTGTGACAACTTTTGACTTGACTCATATGACTCACACAAGAACTGATGGCATAAATAAAATGTCAGTAGGATACAATGTGCAGAGATCTGTATGTTTACATGTATAGTTATATGTTCATATATATGTTTATATTTATCTAATTCTACCAATAGGTAGTGTTAACAGTACAGTTACCAGGTTACACTGATGCTAAAACAAATCCTAAAATATCAAAAAGCTTGAAACAAACAATACTTATGTTTAAACATGCTGGGTTAATTTAAGAAAACTAAAAATAGAGTTGTTGCAGAAAGCATGGATGAATATCTACTTTGTATTTTCACTAACTATAAAATATAAAAATAAACAATTGCTCTGTACAACAGTACTGTCTGTAGAATGCAGTCACTATGCTGGTAATACTTTGCTAATGTGGGACCATTTCATTGCAGTTAGAGTGTATGTAAAGCCAAAACTTCCTGTCCCAGTGACACAGCAGCATGTAAGAGGAGACCTATCCAAAGCCAAGGAATATCCCATTTTATACAGTTTTCCACCAGTGTTCCCAATGGACGATTGCTTCTTACCGCCTCCTCCTGTGTCCACGTAAACCTTTTGGGTTTCGCATCACTTTCTGTACCAGAGATAGTGCTCACCAGGACCAATAGTGAGGGTGAATTGCCCTAGATGGACACAGACCACAATAAAAAAAAAACAGACGTGAGTTTAAACCCTTCCGCATTTTATTCAAATCTAAGAAAAAAGTGTTGTGGCTTTCCATATACTTTAATAGTGTGCAAATATGTACAAAGCCTTAGGTGGTATATTGATCATAGTGCTGTAGCATTGTAACATGAAGAGAATTTGAATTAATGTAATGGAGGGACTGACCACAATGATTACAGATCCTCAGCCCTATTTGCCTTTTTTTTGTTATTGCCTGCAGTCAATAGTGGCCACTCTCAGTCAGGCAGTATTGCAGTCAATAATAATTTGTATAATGGAATCCATAAAGTATATATCAAGTAAAATCAGAATGATTTGAGTAGACTGCAACAGTATATAGATCACTTTTACCTTTTAAAATTTAATAATGGCATGCTGCTAAGCAGTGGAAATCAGCAACTTATATGCTTTCTATTTAAATCGATAACACTATAGCAGAAAGCTGCACATATCTGATGGCTTTGCTTTGTACCTGAAAACCAGACAAAACACTGTTCATAATGGATGCACCCAGTGTGTGATTTTGTATTAAATGTAATTTACAACCTTACAAAATAATTATAGCTTTGGAAAGAGATGCATAATATATAGTGTCTTTGAAAATTAACTCTCTTCCAAAACATTTGCAGCATTTTGTGTCCATACTAAAATCTATAAATCTGAAAGTGAAAAGTGGCAAATCATGATCTAGCCTATCACCTTTCTACTTCCACTCAGCTTAGGCCCATTCTGATGCTCATTGTTATTTCTCCAGAAAGGTGCATGTTATCTTGCTAATGGTGCCTCCCTGCAATGGCGGCCGCTATGGGGCCCGGGCACAGAGGGGCACGGCCAGGACACCCCCCTGATGCTGTGCGGGCCGCCATGGCTTCGAACGCGCCGCTGTTTAGGTCACTGTCAGTGATCTGTGCAGGGCTGCGTTCTTCTCCACAGCCGCTGCTGAGTCAATGAGACCCAGCAGCGGCGGTGGAGGAGGCTGGACCCGGCAGGGGAGAAAGAGGCGGGGCCCGGGGGTCAGCAACAGAGGAGGCAGGGCCGGTGACTGAGCAGGAGGCGGGGCTGCTGACGGAGTAGGAGGCGGGGCCGGCGACTGAGGAGGGAAGGCGGAAGAAGAGGCGGACAGTGTGACTAGTCCACCTGAGGATGACCCTGCAGAGCCCACCATAGAGGGTCTATGGTGGGCTCTGCAGAGTCACCCACAGGTGAGCTGTGTGGGATCTCAAGTGGGCTCTTCAAGGGGTCTAACTAGAAATCACAGGGCCCCATACAAAATTTTGCTATGGGGCCCTATGATTTCTAGTTACGCCCCTGCAGGTGGACCTTAAAAAAATTGAATTCAATTTTTTTTGGAGTGTGTATAAGAATGTCTGTGAGTGTGTGAGATTGTGTCTGTGGTTGTGTGTGTCTGTCAGTGTTTTTGAGGGCCATACCATGCATTCTGGTGGTGGAGGCATGTTGCGTTGCCATTCATTTGAATGTTATCCCAAATGCACCTCCCACCCACAGTTTGTACGGCCGCAGCATACTCTAATACTGTGCATTCTATGGCAGTGTGACTTGGGTTGTGACTTAATGACCAAGGACAAATGTGGGTCCTGAGGTCACACAGGTTGAGAACCACTGGCCTAGATGATTAGTAATAGATTGGTGGTGGCCCTCCTCTTCCTGAACTACCTAGCACCCAAGTAGCCTTGCACTCCTACAGCCCCACCTGCTTTGTCTTTTTGGCACATGTGTTATATGTTCATCTCTGCTGCTAGCCTTTTTTTAACTTGAATGCTAAAAAGATTAATTGCCATTTAATTTAATAATGATATTCAAAGGACAATGAGATCTTTTTTTAGAAGGTGTTATATTTCATTTTTTTTTAAAAAGAAATATTCATCCTTTAACATTACCGGAGGAAATTAGATAGCTGCTGCTAGTATTAGGAGTGTTGACACATTTTCTCTTTATTTGGATGGTTAGATTTAATTGGAGGATTCACACTGAACTCAAAATCGTGTTCATAAAAAGATACATAGTTTTCAAAAAGAAGCCTATACTGAGGCTGCCATTGCTTATCGCCACATGAAAATACCAGTTCCCTGACTGTCTTTGGCCTCAGTACATTCTAAGTTACTGACCTAGAACAAGCATGCAACTAGGAAAGTAAATAATATAAAGCAGAAGCCCCAATATGCTTAAGACCTACATTTGGTAGACTCATGAACAGGGATGTTTGTCAGTTCTAGTGATGTCTTCAAGCCTTTAGCTGTTATTCTTTGCTGCTAGCCTTTTGTTAACTTGAATGCTAAAAAGTTTGATTGACATTTATTTTAACGATGAACTGGCAAATCTCCCTGTTCATAAGTCTACCATATGTAAGTCTTATGCATATTGGGGCTTCTGCTATTTATTAATTTACCCATTTACAAATCTTGTTTATAAAAATATATATAAGTTTTCAAAAAGAAGCCTGTACTGAGGCTACCATTGCTGACCTGCTTGTGAAAATACCAGTTCCCTGACTCTCTCTGGCTTTAGTACAATTTAGGTTACTGACCTAAAACAAGCATACAACCAGTAATAAATAACAGAAGTCCCAATATGCATAATTGTTCCAGGTTAGTGAACCAGAATGTATCAAAGTCTTTGGATCAACATAACAGCCAAGTGAAAAGTTTCTCTTTAAATGGAGAGCCCCACAATAGCAAGCTATGCATTTTGTCAGTATAGGTTTCCTTTAAAGCCCAACTCCGGGCTTTAAACGTACGCATGCATGGCCACCCCACCAACTACCAAGCACACTGCATAGGTTACACTTGCTTAGGGGGAATATGAATAAGTACAAATACCTTATTTCTCGCTCCTGCAGGCCTCCTCCTCTCTGCGCGACTGGTCTCCTAAAGCCATTCGCCAGTGCAGCTGTTACAGTTCTGCGTTGTACGGGAGGACAGTAAAGGCCTGCCCTAAATCTTGAACTTCAGACAGCATAGGACAGTGTTGACTGCTGGGGAGTGAGGAATAAGGTAAGTTTATGTGCAATTCAAGTGAGTATTTACCCATGCAGTGCGTGGCGGTAACCCACTGCATAGGTAAGTTTAGCAAGAACCCAGAGTGGGGCTTTAGAGAAGGTTCAGTGCAGGCACATGTTGGTGTGACAAACCCATTATTTAGGTTATAAAACACTTATTCAACTACATTCACCTTTCATTCCAAAGTGTGGGTCAATACCTTCTGTTAAATAACTGCAACTGCACAATAGACATGTGACTTTGCAGCACAACACATTTTTCAGTTTTGTAAATTACTAAAATATTACCTGATATGCTCAACATGAGTCTTTTTAAGCAGTATGTATAGTTTGCAAAGCTAAGAAAAAAAAAATAATTTTGACAAAAATGTAAACAAATAAATATTTGTATTTAGATGCAATGGTCTAAGTAATATTATTGCTATTTCTTCCTTTTTTCTATCTATCTATCTATCTATCTATCTATCTATCTATCTATCTATCTATCTATCTATCTATCTATTTACATTCATCATGCCCTCCAGCATAAGCCACTTCTCTCTGCCTTCCTGATTAAAATAACTTAGGCTTAGTCAGAGAGCTCTCTTTAAGGACTTTTATTAAATGTCAGCCTAGAGAGTTCATATGCAGAACATTTCTACTTCATGGAGAGAGTCGTGCTGAAGGGTATGATGCATTTTTTATTGCTGACCTGCTTGTGAAAATACCAGTTCCCTGACTCTCTCTGGCTTTAGTACAATTTAGGTTACTGACCTAAAACAAGCATACAACCAGTAATAAATAACAGAAGTCCCAATATGCATAATTGTTCCAGGTTAGTGAACCAGAATGTATCAAAGTCTTTGGATCAACATAACAGCCAAGTGAAAAGTTTCTCTTTAAATGGAGAGCCCCACAATAGCAAGCTATGCATTTTGTCAGTATAGGTTTCCTTTAAAGCCCAACTCCGGGCTTTAAACGTACGCATGCATGGCCACCCCACCAACTACCAAGCACACTGCATAGGTTACACTTGCTTAGGGGGAATATGAATAAGTACAAATACCTTATTTCTCGCTCCTGCAGGCCTCCTCCTCTCTGCGCGACTGGTCTCCTAAAGCCATTCGCCAGTGCAGCTGTTACAGTTCTGCGTTGTACGGGAGGACAGTAAAGGCCTGCCCTAAATCTTGAACTTCAGACAGCATAGGACAGTGTTGACTGCTGGGGAGTGAGGAATAAGGTAAGTTTATGTGCAATTCAAGTGAGTATTTACCCATGCAGTGCGTGGCGGTAACCCACTGCATAGGTAAGTTTAGCAAGAACCCAGAGTGGGGCTTTAGAGAAGGTTCAGTGCAGGCACATGTTGGTGTGACAAACTCATTATTTAGGTTATAAAACACTTATTCAACTACATTCACCTTTCATTCCAAAGTGTGGGTCAATACCTTCTGTTAAATAACTGCAACTGCACAATAGACATGTGACTTTGCAGCACAACAC